TTACAGATGGGTCCACACCCCTTGAATGACAGACTATTTATATGACGGAAGCAATCCGTACGATTCTGTTCTGTTTTTTCTGTGATTTTGAAGCACAGACTTCTGTGTTCACAAAATAACTGAAAATTTCTGTAACAGAAGCAATCCGTACACCTCTGTTGGGAATTTTTCTGTGGTTGTCTGTGGTTTTTCCACAGATTTTTTAACAGTGGTTGTCGCCTCGGCGGGTTTGCTTTTCCAGTTTTCACAGTTTGTCGGTCGGAACCAAGATCGCGTCGTCATATTATTGGTTCGCCCCCCGTCCCACCTCGCCCCGCACCATGGCCCACTGCCAGGAAAAAGTCCTACAAAACGCCGTCGGTTTGAAGTAAAACACGGCCAGGGCACGCCACGCTGCGCCACGGGCCGAAATGCTGCCCGGCAAAAGTCACGCAATGGGCGAAGCACGAATTCGCCCTCGTTTATTTCTTCTTCTTCTCTTCTTTCTCCGGCAACTGAAGCAGCAGCCCGGTCAGGTCGCTCGGTCAGCGTGGTGCCGCGGGGACCCCGTCGGCGGTGCCATGAGAAAGCAGCAAGCAAGCCCAAGCACTCTGCAAAGAGCCCGAGAAAGCCGCGGAGTCGCGGTAGCAGCAGCAGTAACCGCCCCCCGGCTGGCGACACGCCGCCGCCGCCGCCTGCACCTGGGTGAGGAGCCCCGGCGCATTTTGAGAGAGAAAACGCGAGCGTGAGTTGGTGGCTGAAGCCCACGTGAGAAAAGAAAAAATGAAGTAGAAAGAACGGAAGGAGTTGCTCTGAGAGAGATTACTGCACGGCGGCGACGGCGTGGCACTGCTGCTGCCGCCGCCGCGACGCGGACGATCATCGCCGTTGATCGGTTTTCATTTTCGTCCCTCAGAAAGCAACGAAAAGACCCTCGGACGACCGCGTCGTTTTTTTCCGCCGCAGTGCGTGACAAACCGGACGACTGCAGTGACCGCAGGACACCGCAGGAAGACGCCGCAGAGAGGGCTCTGGGTGGCGAGGGATCAGATCGACCACGGAGACAGAGGTAGAGGTGTTATAATGCTGGAGACCGTCCCAGCACCCAGCCAATACCAGTAGCTCTGCTATGTGGTGCGTCAAGTTACATGAGGTTCAAGCGGGACCACATTAAAGACGAAAGACATGTTTCAAAAATTCGATAAACTTCGGAGGTTTTTCCAGGATTGTTCCCCAAAGATAGGATGCCCGCGTTCAATTCTCCCCACGACGCGGCCCACGGCTCGCCCCACCCCGCCCCTGCCCCGCCCCGCCACAGGACGACGAGGCCCGTCCTAATCTACGCGGGGCATCGCAGGCCAGACCAGGCTTGGCCGGCCGACAGACAAGGTGTGAACGGTAGCCCCACAGCGAGGGCGTGGCGGGGCGGGGCCGGGCGGGGCGCACATTTTGCTGTAGTTGAGCGTTGCCTCTTATTATTTCGTTCCCCCTCGGCGCCCCGCTGGCCCGCTGCAGGACCGCTGCAGGACCGCTGCTGGGGGAGGGCGGAGGCTCCTCGTGCGTGGAGGTGAAGAGGACCCGGACGCCCGGACGGAGGAGGAAGAATGGTGGCGCGGGGGCGCGGGCCGCGGCTGCTGCGGGAGGCGGTACAGGACGGTACCGTAGTGCGCACTTCCTGGTGGGGCTTATCGCGGGGGCACATCGTCTCTGTCGCCATGCTCGTCATCGGGGTCCTCATCACGCTCCTCGTTCGTAGTCGGGGTCCTGGCCAACCCCCAGGGACCCCCCCCCTCACCCCCTCCTCAATCTCTCTGCGTGCCCCTTCATAATGTCATTTTCCAAAATCTTTCATTCCGGGGCTGCTGGAGCGGTGGCAACAGTAGCAGTCATTTCTTCATTTCTCGCTTCCACTATAGCTGTTTTCTTTCCCTCCCCCCTTTTTTTTCCTACCCTTTTCTTGCCCTTTTTGTTTGTGGCTCGCCGTGCGTTCGGGGCCCAAGTGCTTCATGATTGCTGCTGTCAGAAGGAACAACGGCGACAGGCGCGAAGGCATTGTGCAGCCCGCGCGGGGCGTGGCGGGGCGTGGCGGGGCGGGGCCAGAGTCGCTACCGACCTGACGAAGTGCGGGGCGTGTTGTGGCGGGGCGGGCGGGGCGGAGGCATTGCTGTCTCGGGACATTGCCACGTAATTGCTAATAGAAGTCTAGGGGCAGTCGTAGCGGGCAGGAGCAAGCGCCGGGCTGAGGCGTGGCGGGGCGTGGCGGGGCGTGGCGGGGCGTGGCGGTGTGTGGCGGGGCGGGGCGGCCAGGTGAAGCCGCTACCGACATGGTACAGCAGCGGCGCGGGGGAGGGCAAGTCCACGTCACGTTGTGTTCGCACCACGCTACGCCACGCCTCGGTCTTCTCATCCTGCTCCTTCTATTATTCGCGTTGAATCTCCTCTCCTCGTGGGTTTTGGGCGTTTACCTCCGGCGTGCCTCCGACGATGGGATGAGATGCCTGACTCGGGATAAAGTGTCATCATCAACACCATTATCATCACCATCGCCTCGCCTTCAGGGCTTCAGCAGCGGCCAGCAGTGCTGCAGCAGATCGAGGTGGGGTCTACGGTAAAGTCCTGCCTACGGTCTTCGTCTCGTCTCTTCGTCCATACGCTGCTGGCAGATAGTGGACGGGGTTCTGATCCAGGCTCGCAGCAGGACCACCCGCGGACGATTATTTCGGACGCAAAAAATAAAAACCAACAACAACACACTTTCCGCTTTAATCCTGTCGATTCCTCTCCTGCCTTGGGCGGGATTATGGGAAACACGAGCCGGGACGGAAGGCTGACGGGCCACCTCGGCGATATGCGACACACAAAAGCAGATCCAGCCATTTTCCCTTTGCGACGGCGAGATGTAATAAATTATTTCGGCAAACCTCGAGGACCAACGTCCATTTCCGAAATAAGGAGTTAAAGTAAAATTATCCCACAAAGAATACATTTGCATCACAGGTGCGGTATCTTTCAGAGTTGTACGATTGCTTTCCACCTTTTTTTTTTCAAACCTAAAGAACGATTTTTTAAATTCTGAGCGAACGGGACCATAAGGCACCACGGTGAGCGACGGTAGGCAAGCCCGCCCGCACGCCTGCATGCGGTACAGTCTGAGCAAAGTGGGGAAGGAACCTACCTGGACATTTACTCGTATACGTGCATTTATGCGTGGTAGTCCATCCATAGACCCCTTCATTACTTTGCTTACACTGTACCACATGCAGAGCTTGCCTCTGCTACCGTCGCTCGCCACGGAGCCTTATGGCACTTTGCGAGTAGGTTAACACGCCTTGGCGTGGACTCTGAAGCTACTTGAGCTGGACGAAAAACTAGAGGCGAAGCTGTGTGACCTGGTCGGGGGGACTGTCTATTTCTTAGCTTTTTAGTTCAGCTAATTTTTTCGGTCACTGAACTAAAAGGCTTATTCCATATCGCTCAGCCAATAAATTTTCATGGTCAACCGTCACACAGTGGGGAGCGGGGAGGGCAGGGGAGAAGATAAGAACAATGTTGCTGAATGTGCACTTGTGATTCGTTTGACGATCACATACTCCTCATCATCTCTGTTTTTCCTGCTCAGTTGAGAGCACGGTCGGTCCATAGTCTTCCATGTTACTATAAATATAACACTGTTCTGAACTTTGCATCAGTGTCACCCCAGTTTTCAAGAAAGTCGGACGTACTACATCGAGCGCTGCAGCCAAATACGGTGTGCCTACAGAAATAATACGGTACTTATAGTCTGGACCGAGGGGTTAAGATCTCAGGGAATCATGTGTACACCTGCCTGGGAATCATCAGGATTAAAATTAATCGAAATCAATAGAAATCGCTTAAACTAAGCGGGCAACTATAGTAGAACTGGTACAAATTGTGGTTGTGTACTGTATCTATTATTTCTCTCTATTGTGCTTTCTCCCTCTCGATTTTTCTCTATACCAGGTGGTTGATAAACCCCGCTCACTTCTGTAGTTATGCTGTACCGCAACGCACGAGTGCGGGCGGGCTTGCCTATCGCCCCTATCCACGGCGCCTTACGGCTCGAAGGAGTACGCGACCCCACCGCACGTAGGCATGAGGTACAGCATCTACAGAAGTGAGCGGGGTTTAACAGCCACCTGATATATCTTTTTGTGCTGTTGGGTTTTGACATCAAAGCTGGTAAAGAAAGTGCAGATTTTTTTTCTAACAATTGCATTTGGTCTACCACCGTCAACTCTTTTTTCTTTGCAGCACTACACGACGATTTAACACGGCGGCTCGGCAAGCTGTTAAACTGAAGATGGGCCTACGAATCAATAGTTCCCTGGGAATAGTCGTGTTCTGTCTGATCGGCTCTTCCTGGGGGTGGGAAAGATTCGAAGATATGGTTAAGTATCCGGGCGATCAAATAGCCTGCAGATTTTGGGGCTTGCAGACTCACTGGATGCTCGCGACTGAAACGAAGAATTGGGTAATAAACATTTTGCCAAAAGCAGGAGCTAGAAAGGGCAATCCGTCCCAAGTTGATGAAATGCATTATTCGAGCATTTCCGGAGTCAACTTTGATATGTGTTATAATTGGGGGCCAGGTCCACAGGGTGCCAATGCTGTAACCAGAGCAAGGCAGCATGTAAATGAAGATGTGTATTACCACGTGCTTACCTGTAACTGTGAACACTACGTGAAATACTGGGCTGGAGCAGACTATAACTTCAATCAATCAGGGTCCAGGGCATCGAAATGGTGCTCATTCTTTTCTTGGAAAATGCCAGCGATTGAAACCGCAGTCGAATACAATGTGGTTTCTCTTTGAAAATTAATTTAAATGTTGTTTTCATAGCTATTAAGAATATTGTAGTGAAACACCTGGTAACATCATACATGACAAACTGTAAACTGATAAAATTAAAGTGATTTATGTAAAAATTCTATCTCATCGCAAAAATCATATTTTGAAAAACTTAAAAGTTTGCCTTGAAGTTCGGTATATACACCCTGAAAACTATGCTCGTAGATTTTCCATGGACTTTTACATTTGTGGAGAGGGCACCCTAGAACAAGACACACAGGTCTCAAATTCGCATCGCCTGCTTTCATGACCCGTTCCTTGACGACACTTTTTCTTGAGAAACAAAATACCAATCTTGGAACCTCTTGCTGCTAATCTTCCCAGTAAACGCTCACACTCATGTCAGCCGAGACGGCGAGGCGGGGCCGATATTGGCGTGCCGATGGCGTGCCGGCCTGCTGCTGGCCTGGATCTCCTGGATGCGCTGGATGGGACGAGGAGCTGCTCCGTGGAGCTGCTCGGTGGAGCTGCTCCTTACCATCCCGCCTCGGCCGCTTGACGTTTGCTGGACGCGCAACGAGGTGTTTATGCCTCGTAAAAGGCTCTGCTGCCCGACCTGGACGCTGGACCGGCCTGCATGGTCTTCCCCGCCCGGCCGGTGCATCCCCGCGGCGAGGCAGGGCTGCCAGTGCCGCCAACGTGACCGGCCGACGGCGCAGTACGGCCACAGACACACCCACAGCCATGTTGAAAGCGGCCAGAGTCACAGCAACAGTCAACTTCCACATAGAGAACCTGCATTATTATACATGTATAATCAGGTTGCTGTAGCAACTAACTATTGACTCTGACAACTAATTCTTAGGTGCCACTGCGAATTTCCTGATTATCCCAAAATTAGCCAATGTATTAGTTCTGACGACTATTTTGTTTCTCCCTGATGATGATATACTCGCTAGAGGCTTAACAATAGTCAAGGCAACTCTCGCGCCAACCGAGTTGTGCCCGGGCGCCCGGGCGAGGGTTGGGATCAGGTGGGGGGGGACCGGTGCCGGCGGGACCCCCTGCGTACAGCCCCTCTCCCTCGAGGTCCTGGCGCGGGTGTGATCCGATACCGCTCGGCCCGCACGCCCCGCACCGCCCTGGACCGCCTGCGTCACCAGATACCCCCCCTCTCCCTCCCCTCCGGCCTTGTCGGCGACCCTCATCGAGTTACTACACGTCATTCGGCGGTTCGGGAGCACGGTGGAGAGGCCAGGGGGGAAGCGGACGACAGGATGCAGGATTTTACTCACGATTGACCAGGACTGCTGGGGCAACGGAGGGGAGGATGTCGAGACGTCGCCGCAAATTCAATGCCGCCGTCTCTTCTTCTCCGTCTCTCCCCCCTCTCCCATCTCTGCCTTCCGATTTGCCCGCGCAGCTGAGACGGGGATTTTATTCACCTCTCTTTTACTTTATTTCCCCCTGCTTTATCGCTAGCAGCTCTAGTAGCCCCTCCCCGCCCCTGTGCACCTGTGCGCCCGGGTACTTCCTCACCGGCGAGGAGTCGCCCGGGACGGGAGAGAAAGAGAGAGAGGGGGGGTGGGACAGCAGAGGAGAGAGAGGGAGAGAAAGAGGGAGAGAGAAGAGGTGGGCAGCGACCAGGAGCACCAAAAGAAGGAAAGAGACAGCGCCTGACGCGATGAAATTCCAGGATAGCGTAATTGATTTTATTGATGCCCGTCCGAGAGCCCAGAGCAGGATCATCGGCTCCGAGCTACTCGGCCAGGACCCACTCGGCGGGTCGCCCCCAACCCCCCCCCCCTCTCTCTCTCCCTCTCCCTTGGCTTCTCCTCTCTCTCAAGCAGGCGCCGCCACTGCTACCGCTGTCCTCAGCAGGGCACCGTGCGCGACGAGCGGCCACCACATTCGGATAACAGCGACACAACAGCAGGATGGCCCGGGCGGCGTGCGGTCCCCGCCGCCATCGCAGCTACGTCGGGAAAACTGATAACACTCAACATATATCAGCAAAAGCAAAATACGGCCACCCCGGCGAGGCTCGAACAGATGGGACCCTACGCGGGTCATTATCACACGCGCAGGACGCCACTGTTGTTGCCACGCCACACCGGCAGCTGCGCGGCAGAAGCGACTTGCTGCAGCTGCATCCGCGCGCACGACGTACGCGGACGAGAAGAGGAGGGTTTTATTCCCAACAGGAACACATATACGCAGTTTGCCAGTCATAAAAGGGGGCACGTAAAGCAAAGCCGCTGCAGCTAGCAGTCGTCCTGGCCGCCCCGCCCGGCCCACCGCGCGCCGCCTGCCGGCCGGCCTTCCCTCCTGCCCTGCGCGCCGCGCGCTCCGCCGCGGACCGGGGCGGGGACGAGACGAGACGCCCATAGAGCTGCACGCCGCCCCGCCCCGCCACTCTGTGCCTCATAAAAGTATTCCGCGTACCGCCCCGCACTGTGATTGAATGTGGAGGAATGCACGGTATAAATTAGCGGACCTCGAGGTGGCGGGGGGGGGG